GCCAAGGTTCAGAACCTGAAAAGTGGCCTGTCCTGGGGTTCTGGCCTGGCCCCGGGGCTTCACAGGACCTGCTGAGCCAAGCCAGCTGGCTGTTTATTGTCTGGGTGACAGTTGGGAGGCCTCACTGTCCTCCCATTGCAGAGCTCATGGTTACAGACTGAGTGGGATCTGAAGTTTCTAAAGTCCTTTGGTGGGGGACGCGGGGGGTTACGGGATGTTCCCTTTAGTGAAAGGCTGCGCGACCCCAGGACTGCTGTAGACACTGTGAGCACACAGGAATATTCTGGCAAAACACTGTCCAAATCATAGAGATTGAATTCATTAATAATTTAACCTCTGACCTACTTCATGAAGAACAAAGTAGCAAATTTTGACTGAAAATACTCTGCAACTCCAAAAAGAGAAAAAGAAAGATAGAGGCGAATTGGTTATGGGTGAGCTTGCCTGAGAAATAGCCCGTGGAAACATTATCAAAAACAGAGCCTGGCCTCCTGCAGGTACGTCTCTTTCAGGTCTGGGGTAACCAGCAAAATCTCCCCTAAATGGATTAGTAGCACTTGAGTAAAGTTGAGGCTAGAAGGAGCTTTCACTGTCTGAAAGAAGGCTGTCTGCTGAGTATGTTTGGGACCTTCTGGGTTCTGTAATGTGAGAACCTGTGTGCGTGGGAGAGGCTCAGGTGTTCCTCAGCTTTCCTGGTTCCCTTCTTGAGATTCAGGAATGAGAGAAAGCGAGTGAGTTGCTGCTTCTGAAGACCTGGAGCCTCCTGTTTCCAGCCCAGAAGCCCTAGGAGAGACTCCTATTATAGAGTCCTCCGGTGGCACAGTTTTCCAGGAAATACTGATGTGGAAATTTGGCTGCTGGAGGTCCGGTGAGGGGCGTCCCTGGCTGGACTGAGCCAGCTGTGTGTTGGGTAGGGGTGAGGTTGCTGGGTTTGTAGGCTGTGTTAGCAAGAGTGAAGTGGCTCAGCTTTCTCTTCCTGGGGAAAGTGAATCAGACCCAGGGGAACCTGCAGAATGATCATCTGGGACAGTCGTGGGTGTGTCAATCTCAGTTCTGTGGCATATACATACACAGGAAATCTCTGTCGCCTAAGGGGCTCTCAGACGTCTACCCATCTGTGTGAGCAGTACCCCAGAGGAGCCTCCATTTGTTCAGCACCTACTTGGCATGGTACATACATGGTCAGCAATTCACCTGACAGCCCTGGGAAGGGGAGGCACTATCCCCATTTTATAGGCAGACAAACTGAGTATGAGACAGGTGAAGGCAATCACCCAAGGAGTTATGTTGGTATACTTGGTTAGTGGCTCAGCTGACTGAATGTGCCCATGTCTCTTTTAAATCCAATACCCTGGGCCCAAATGTACCAGAAGGCAAGTGAAGGAAGGATCTGGGTCCTTGTGGGAAAGGGCCAGTGCAGCCCCTGAGGTCAGCATGCTGGTGACAGCATCCATGAGGGGAGGCTGAGATGCTGGGGTGACAGTGAGGGCAGTGGCTCCTTCCCACATAGAGCATCTCTTCTGTGAACCCTGAAGTTTGGTTTCACCCAGAGCTGGCTGGTTTTCCCAGCCGAGGCAGGAGTGGGCCTCAGCCCTGTGACTCTTTTCAGGGCAAAACAGATGCAGTTTCAACAGGGCCCTTTGTGTCTGGTGACCTTGTGCATGAGCAGGCTGGACCTCAGGGCTGGGTACAGATGGAGTATATGCAGGTAGAGTCCCTTGGGATGGAGTGAGTCCCCAGAGACAAAGTGGATGAGTGGAGAATGCAGAACTCCTGAGGGGTCACTGGTGGTGGACTGGCCAAAGTAACGAATCCTGAGTCTAAAGGAGTACCAGTCATGTGTTTCTCAAGGCTGGCAGTTGGTGCAGAAGCCAGGAGGCAAGAGAAGGGGCCCAGGGATACGAGAAGTGGAAAACCTCCGCTACTGGGGTGCCTGGCAACGAGCTTGCTGGGAGCATGGAGTTCAGACGGCCAGGGGAGCTATTGGGGTTACAAGTATAGACAGAATGGACCTCACCAGCCTCCTGCAGGAGGAGGGGGAGGGTGGGTACACAGCTGAGATGGTACTGCCAGCATCACCCCCGCCCCAGTGTACCATGTGCTCTCTGGTGGAAAGAGTGATTCCAGGAAACCCCATCTTGGCAAAAATGTGCTAAAGATTGAGAGCAGTGTGTGCAAAATGAACATGCCCCGAGTATTTCCCCCTTGTGCATGTGAAAAAAGGGGAACCAAGTGGCCCTGGTTTACAGGAAGCATGCCTCATGGAGGGGAGCTGGGAGCTGACTGAGAGGGCCAGAAGATCTGCCCTGGCAGCCAGCCAGCCCTGGGGGAGAGGCCAGTTTGGTGGAGGTTCTGGTTCTGGTTACTGGGGAAGTCTCTTTGGTCAAGACCCCAAGGAAATGGTGGGACAGGGTGGCTACCAGGGAAGCCTCAGCCAAGCAGTGATGGTGGGCAAGTACTGGCTGCAAGGATCCTGCAGGTGGGCAGCCTTCCAGAGGGTGCTGGGAGGAGGGAGCCAGCTGCTCCCAGAGAAGGGAGGAGGCCTAGCAGATAAGGCCCACAGCTGCCCAGGAGTTATCAAGGCCTTTAGATAGAAGCCACCAGAAGCATCTTTCTTGAGGGTCTGTTCAGCCATGAGGAGGGAGAGAAGCTGAGAGAGACATGGTCAAGAAGGAGCCGAGGTGATGCTCTTACCTCGAATGAAGAGAGGAAATTAGGGATGTGGAAGATGCTGTAAGACATCTTCGAAAACGGCCAGAGCTCTTGGGAAGTCATGCTGGTGGGTAATAAGATTGGAATGCAGACACAACAGCTTTCCTTGAATGAGGGTGCTGTTCTCAGAATCCATGATCTGGCTGCAAGGTCTAGACCTCAGAGGTACTAGCAGAATATGAGACTGCCCACCAAACTAGTTGGCTGCAGAGGGTCACCCTTGGACTTGACCTCCTTCTCTCCACCTTCTGTTCTCCTGTTTTGGGTTCATGTGATTGTGCTGCAAGAGTTTACAAGATGTCGCTGGGGGGAGAGAGATACAGAGCTGGGGATGTGGGCTGGGCTGTAGATAATTAAGGGATAATGTTTTATCCATTGCTATGTTACAAGCCACCCCCAAACTTAGCATCACAAAACAACCACTTACTATCTTCTGCATTTCTGTGGGTCGATGGGGCTCAGCTGGGCAGTTCTTCTGGTCTATCTTGGTGCCTCTCACGCATTTGCAGTCGGATGGTGGCTGCCGCTAGGGTCCTGGAGGCTCAGCTGGGCTGGAACCTCCAAAATGACATCTTCACTCCCATGTCTGGTGTCTTGGTGCTCTTCCCCGGGGCCTCCCTCTCTGCCTGGCGTCTTATCCTCTGCTGCCTTTCTCTTCAGCAGGGCAGTTGGAGTTTTTACATGCTGGCTTCCAGGAACACAGAAGTGCGAATTGCTAGGCCTTCTTAAGGCTTAGGCTCAGAATTAGCACATCAGTTCCGGCATGTCCCATTGGTAAAGTGAGTTGCAGGACCAGTCCGGATTCAGTGTGGGAGGAAGATGCAAACAGGTGTGGATGCAGTGAGGCAAGGTTTATTGAGGGCCATTTTGCAAACTGGCTGCCTCAGAAGGGTAGTCTGTCACCATCCTTGGAGGCTTTTTTTTTTTTAAAGACCCCAGGGATTACTTGGAGTGGGGGAGGGTATATAGCTCAGTGGTAGAGTGTGTGCTTAGCATGCACAGGGTCTTGGGTTCAATCCCCTGTGCCTCCCTTAAAAAAAAAAAGACACCAGTGATTTCTTTATCCCATAGGACAAATGGTGGCAGCTGAATTTGAAACCAGATTTTCCTGTCCCTGAAGCCTGGGGTCTGTCTCCCGGGCCATCAGCACACCAGCCCAGCTTTTTCAGGTCGGGGCTGTTGGGTGCTGGTTATTAATGGACATGGTGTATCTGAGCTGTCTGACATCTAGCAGGTACTTGCTGGGTGGCACA